CATGTGGGAATACACATTTTAAAAACTAGATTAAAATTTTTGTGGTGTATGGGTATTTGCTTGTATGTACATCTAAGCACCATGTGACTGCAGTACCCACGGAGGCCAGAAGAGGGCCTCAGATTCCCTGGGACTGGAGTTACAGATCACCCTGAGCATTCCACGTGGGTTCCGGGAACCTAACTCAGGTCTTCTGGAAGAGCAGCCAGTGCTCTTAAGCACTGAGCATCTCTCCAACCACAGAATCCCCTGGGCAGGGAACTCTGGACTATGCACAGTGGAGAAAGTGAGCTGAGCTGGAGACAGGCCTTTGCGGCTCCCTTTGCCGCTCCCTGCTTCCTGACTGTGGCTGTGATGTGACTAGCTGCTTCCAGCTGCCCCTGTCTTGACTCCCCACTTCGGTGGGCTGTATTCTCAAACTCCAACCCTAAATCAGTGCCTTTCCCTTAAATTGCTTTTGTCTGCACATCTTATCACAGAAATGAGAAGAAGCTGATAAACTTTCCTTCCGGCCTTTCCCCGAGCACAGTTCTTCCCCTCACCGCACCCTGTCCCTGCAGAACAGCGCATTTGCTGCACTGGATGAGCCCTCACAGACATCACTCTCAGCTGAGACTGACTTCTCTAGGCTCTACTCTTGGTGTCACAGACTCTGTGGAGACTGACAAATGTGTAATGATGCATCTCAATGTTATGTCATGAGGAAGATTTTTATTTTCCTAAATACCTTGTGTGGTGACTAAAAAAAAAAAAAAAAAAAAAAAAAAAGACTTTGTGTGTGTGTGTGTGTGTGTGTGTGTGTGTGTGTGTGTGTGTGTGTGTGTGTGTGTGTGTTTGCACACGTGGATGTCTGAAGAGGCCAGAAGAGGGTGTCAGATCCTCCTGACTGGAGTTACATACAGGTAGTTGTTAGCATGGGTGTTGGGAACCAAACTCTGGTCCTCTGTAAGAGACGCAAGTACTCTCCCTTAACTGCTTCAGTGTCCTCCTGCGTGACAACTTTGAAAAGAAATAACATGTGATTCCAATACTAACTTCAGCTCTGTAATTAGGGTAGGGAAGGGAGATTGAATTTACAACTAAAACTTAGGGCTGGGGCTGTAGCTTAGAGGTAGGAAAAGCCCTTCCTTTGCCTAGCTTGTGAGAAGCTCTGGGTTTGATTTCCGGCACTGCAAACCAGACCAGACAAATAAAGTTTCTCCCCCGAAGTTCTCCATCTTAGTCCCTCAGAAGGACAGGAGGGCAGTTGGCTTTTTTAACTCTTTTGCTTTGCCATCTCCATCCCTCACCGGTTGCACAGGAGGTCCCTAGGGAGTGGAGCAGAGGCAGAAAGCCAACCAAGAAGGTAGGTGCTCTGTTGGCTCTTGGGGTCCCAGCTGGTACTGCAGGCTTGCCCATGAGAGCCTGGGTTTCCTAGACATGGTGTGCACACGCCTTTTCTGACTGGTTGCTGCTGACCTCCACTCTCCCAATGTTGATGGTTTTCCTGGTTATCCTTAACTATCAACCCAAAATGTCCTGGAGTCATCGAGAGTGTAAGCATTGCAGTTTGAATGGAAAAGTATCCTGGCAGTGGGAAGCCAAGGATTACCATGAAGTCACCATTAGCGAGGCAGCTTATAGCCCTGCTCCAGAGAAGTATTTCCTCAGTGTAACAACTCTGCCCTGGCAGCGAAGGGTTTCCCCAGCAAAACTGTTACAGCTCTGCCCCAGCAAAACTGTTACAGCTCTGCTCCATGTGCCAGAGTGTAACCACTATGCTCCTCTGCTAGGGCCAGGTTTCCCTAGGGAAAGTGTTACAGTTCTGTCCTCTGCTCCACTCTGACGAAGGAAGATTGTCACCCAAACTTCATTCAAGAGATTTGTTGGGAGGGAGGAATCTAGGAGGGTGGCTGGCTGCCTCTGCCAGGGTGGAAAAAGGCAGCTCCCCACTGAACAGGTACAGAGCTTATATAGGGCTTGTTAGGGGTGGAGTTTTTCCAGGGTGAAGATTTTCAGGGTGGGAATTGGTCAGATTCAATCCCCGAGCTTGGACAAGCTCAGGGATTGGCTGGATTTCCTGCTCAGGGATTGGTTGGGTTTTGTGCGGAGTTGGTTAGGTGCAGGATGTGGTCTTTAGCCCTGGTTTCAGGGCCAAAGTGTGTTTCTTTCACTGGCTCTTTTATGCTGCATTGAGGACAGCCTCACTTGAGGAACTGCTTGGATCAAGCTGGCCAGTAGGATTGCCTTGGTGGATGCTTGATGTAAGAAAACCTAGTCCATTGTGGGTGGCACCATTCCCTAGGAAGGGAATTCTGAACAGGATCAAAACAGAGAGCTGAACACAGGCAAGCAATGATACATCTATTCTCTCTCTGCTCTTGATGTGACTAGAGGCCCGAGTGCCTGCTTTGACTTCCCCGGTGACAGACTGTCACTTAGGAATGTCAGCAGAATAAACCTTTCCTCCTCTAATTTGCTTTCCGTCAGGGTAGCCTAGTGCGGAAACAGAAATGAAACCAGAGCATTTTTCAATCAGCGAACTGTCAGCACAGCTCTGACTACAAACTCCAGACACACTGGGTGCTTTTTCTCCCCACTCATGTTTGATGGCTAGAGCCCTAAGTACCAGAACTCACACTGATTCTCCTGCCTCTGCCTGTCATGGTCAAATGGGACTGAGAGACATGGAGGAGATTAGGAATGCGTACATCCGTGTGTGTGTGTGTGTGTGTGTGTGTGTGTGTGTGTGTGTGTGTGTGTGTAATTGCTTGAGACTGTTCGATCACAAATCTTGTGACTTAATGAGTGGTTTACCCCATCGACGGGCAGCCCACACATAGGCAGCAGGCATTATGTTCCTTCTCCTTCAGTAAAAAGTATGTATGTAAATATTTCAGATATATCCCAGCACTCTGAAATTACTGTAACAAAATACACAGACTGGTTACTTTATAAACAAATTTCTTGAGGCTTAGAAGATGGCACCTGTGTTAGTTTTCTGTTACTGTAATAAGATACCCGAGGCAGTTACTTTATAAAGAAAAGAGGTTTATTTAACAAATGCATCTAAAGTCTCAAAGGCACGAGACCTTTACCTTTACAAGAGGTAAAGCCCTCAAATTGGATAGTATCAAATGTTATGATTATGTCACCCAACAAGAGTCAGAGAGAGGGAGGGAGAGAGGCAGGGAGGGAGGGACGGAGAGGTGGGGGGACACTGGGATCCCATCATTACCTCCCAGGGCATGCTCCAGTTGTCCTAAGGACCCCCATGCCTGCCTCCTAAAGGCTCCACACTCCCTGGCCTGAACTTCTGATCCTCGCACCTTTAGGAGCAAGTGTAAATCCTCTGCAAATCATAGCAGGGCTCTGGGGTAGACTCTCTCCCTTGCTCCATTTTACAAGGACACCAATCTCATCCACGAGCATGGAACCCATGTGACCCTGTCAACTCCTCAAAGGCCCTACCGCTTTCAGAGCTAAGTTTCATTACATGACTCTGGTGGACACGGACATTCAGTGCCCCATAGTGGAATTGTTGTGGCCGCGTCTTGAGACCCCCAAGCAAGACCACCACAGAGCTGATATCCGATGCAAAACACACAGGGCTTTATTACAAGCTGGGGCTTGGTCTGTGTCCAACACACTGGCTAGCCAGATGAAGGAGGATGACTCTGAGCTCTCAGGGTGAGGGGTTTTTAAAGAGAAAAACCACAAGCAGGGTGGTACTAGCCTTGGCATCATATGATTGGGTGAGAGTATGTAACCTTTGAATTTACTGATTGTAGGTTACAGTTATCATTTTGGGGGCAGGCCTGGACAAGTCCCAGGCTTTGTCCTTGAGCTGACTTGGGGGCTGGCTGGCCTAGCATCTACTGCCTGTGGGAGCTGACTCAGTGGCCCAGGCTCTGTCCTTGAGCTGCTATGGAGGCTGGTTGGCCTTATACATTCACATTGACCCATGCATGTGGCTCTAGGTTGGCAAGGAGTCCCAGACAGGAAACAGTTGGCTGAACCTTGAACAGTCAAAGTATGTGCAGAACGGGAGCTACTGCAAGGACTAAGTCATAGCCCTCCCAGAAACTGCTTGTTTGAGTCTCAGGAAACTGAAATTGAGGCCTGGCCTCTGAGAGAGGACTGAGCAGTTTGTTATGGTGTCTGCATGGTCCTTTCAGAATCCTTGCACATGGGAGGCGTTGGTCTCACCCAGGGGGGTATCTCCCCCACCGTCTTCCCACATTAACCTGGACTTGTGGGTATTTTATATTTTGAATATGAAGTCTAATGTCAGTTTATTTTATTGCCAGATTGTTCCAGCACGGGTCACCATTTCTTCTGCACAGTTTTGCACGTGGGATTTTTGCAGGAGATGATTTTTCATTGTTTTCCTCACTCAAGTGTCCCTTCAACAAGCACCAGCTGACATGGCAATGGATTCCCCCACTTCCTTTCTCGCCCTAAGTGATCGGCCCCTCCTGACTTCCCTTCTGAGAACCCTCCTCACACTCTTTCCCCTCCTGCTAGCCTCCCCGCCCCGCCGTTCCCAGGGACCTTCCTTACAGCCTGGCATTGCAATCTGGTGGCTCACAAACCATCCAGGATAAAAATACATTGTTGTCCGGGAGTGAGGCCCCTGACTTATCTTGGGGGTGAGCATACCCAGGACTTTTCACACGCCTCTAGGGGCCTTCGACCTTTCTCACGGAAAAAGAAAAGAGGAACGGGCCTCTTACTTCACATAGGTTTTTTTTTTTAAATTTTTTTTTGTAGCAATGATAAAGGAATGTGATTGATGGATGGTGTGGCGTGGCTGAGATGGGGATAGACTGAGGAAAAAGAAGACAAGGAGTTGGGGCAGGGCTGAGGTATGAAGGCTAGAGGTGGACCCTGCAGCTGGGGTTCCCCAGTCCAGGCCTGGCAACTGCTCCTCTCATGGGTCCCCAGAGCCCGCCTACCCAGGTCAACTACTTCCCCAATCAAAGCCCTGCTCCTTCCTTAAGTCTTTCGGCTCACAGATGCTGAGACACGGGGAAACTCTTGCCCCGTCCAAAGCCTCCCCTTCTCCTCCTCTCCTCCACTGACAGAATCAAGGGGGTATGGCCTGGAGGTGCTCACAATTGCTACTGGCCCCTGTGCTGCTGCTGGTCCTGGCCTCAGGTGAGATGGTTCGGGACACAAGGGGTTGCGAAGTGGGATGAAGGGACAAGGCTCAGGCAGGAATCAAGCTGACCCTGTGACCATGGATGGCTTCCGGTGACCAGGGATGACCTCCGGGCCATGCTGGGAGTCTGGGTGCTAAAAGTCATCGCCTCTCAGCTTTCCCAACCCTGTAAACAGATGTATACAGCTGGGGCTCTGATGGAGGGTTTGTTGTCCAGGTGTCTGGGGGTCGACAGTTGTGTCTGAGGAACTTCATACAGTGGTAGGACAGGACCTCTCCGTGCGGTGCCAATACAAGCCTGAAGCAGGGCCTTATGTGCCGAAATCATGGTGTCGGCAGACATCTCCAAATAAATGTAACAGAGTGGTCACAACCTCTGAGCCTCGGAGAGCAGTCAAAGAGTCACAACACACAATCTGGGACGATCCTGAAGCTGGCTTCTTCAGCATCACTGTCACTCAGCTCACGGAGAAGGACTCGGCATTCTACTGGTGTGGACTATTTAGCGCTTCCCAAAATGTAATCGACGTTCTCAGAAACATCAGCCTGGTGGTGTCTCAGGGTAAGGCCTTTATATAACCCCTCTCCTAGGGAGCAAGTGAAAATATGTATCACTTATCCCTTGTCTCTGTCGTCCCCAATCCTGACACCTGCCCTGACTGAGGAGAGTGAGATACCCTGTCCCCTGAGATAACTTCCTGTCGCTGTCATTCCTGGCTCTGGCACTGAGAAACAATGTCTGAGTTTCATGGGCCAGGGACCTGGAGTCTCTCCCACTCTTACTTATTTTAGCCTGGCATGGTGCAACTTTAATGCCAACATTTGAGAGGCAGAGGCAGGTGGATCTCTTCACAGCCTGGTCTACAGATCGAGTTCCCAGCCAGCCAGAGATACATAGTGAGACTTTGTCTCAAAAAAAAAAAAAAAAAAAAAAAAAGGAATGTTTTTATTTTAAGTTTTGGGCACTCACGGGCACATGCCACGTGTGTGCCAGTGCCCATGGAGGCCAGAGCATAGGCTCCCCTTGGGGCTAGAGTCACAGGTGGCTGTGAACCACCCAGTGTGGGTGCTGGAACCAAACTCAGTTCCTCTGCAGGAGCAGTCTGAGTTCTCAGTGGCTGGGCTGTCTCTGACTCTTTCTCACACAGGCACACCTGTGCAGACCTGGGGTGCAGATCACTACTGGCCCAAGGGGCCCTCAAAGAGCTGCTCTGAGCTCCCCTACATCTTGTCACTGTTTGGGGGGTCAGATTGGATTCTCCCATCAGGACCCCACACAGTCAGCATCTTTTTCCCTTACAGCTTTGCCCACTCTTCCTCCACCGACCAGCATCCGGCTCCAAACAAAGATGGGTAGGTTTTGGAGGAGGAAAGATGGATGGCCAGGCAACCTGGGGAGCCTGAGATTCAGTGGGGCCTTCCCCTTGGGTGGGCCCCCTAGGGACTGGGCAATGGGGAAGCTCCACTTGGGGCTTGGGACATCGAGAGATGAAGTGTGCTCTCTGCTCCAGCGCCGCCCACTTCCCATGGGGAGGCCAGATTTGAACTAAGCATAAAGATCCCAGGCCCAATCTGAGCCAGTTTAAAAACCAGACCAAACCAAACCACAGCATACAAATGGCCAGGGATAGCCTCAACATCACTCCCAACTAGGGAAATGTGCAAAGCACAGTGAGCGATCTTCCCATTCCAACAAGAATCGCTCTTCCTCCAAAGACAAAAGGTAACAGGCGCAGGGAAGCCTGGAGAAAGGGAACCCAGTGGCTAGTGGGAATATAAATTAGTACCGTACTTGTGAAAACAGCCCTTGGGAGGTAGAGGCAGGTGGATCACAAGTTCACCATCTTGAGCTATGCAGTAAGTTTGAGGTCAGCCTGGGCTACATGGAACTCTGACTTAAAAGAAAACTTAGCCGGGCATGGTGGCACACTCCTTTAATCCCTGCACTCACGAGGCAGAGGCAGGTGGATCTCGGTGGGTTTGAGGTCAGCTTGTTCTGTACAGGGAGTTCTGGGTAGGCCAGAGCTACATAGTGAGACCCTGTCTCAAAAGCTACCAAACAACAACAACAACAAAATGCTGATTTAATAGACATTGGAAACTGATTGGTGGGTACCAGAGGCTGAGAGAAAAGTGAGGAATGAGTGATAGGGTGCTGGGCTAAAGAGTATTAAGTAATATGAAGGGGAAAGAAATGCCAATGATGTGCTGCACAGTGGAGACCTTAGACAACAGTAATGTACTATTTATTTTTATTATTAAAAATTTAGAACATTTACTTATTTTATTTTATATGCATGCATGTGTTTGCCTGCATACATATTTGTGCAATATGTACTTGCCTGGTGTAGCCAGGCAATACCTGGTGCCCTGGAGGTCAGAAGGGACTGTTAGATCCCCTAGAACTAGCGTTATGGTTGGTTGTGAGCCACCATGTGGGTGCTGGGAATCAAACCCTGGTCCTCTGCAAGAGCAGCAAGTGCTCTTAACCGATGAGCCATCTCTCCAGCCCCTAATCATTTTTAAAAGGCTATAAAAAGGATTTTTTTAATGTTTTACCATGAATAAATGATAAACGTTGAGTACACAGGTTGACTTTGGTTTGAATGTCACTTATATATACAAGTACTGAAACAGCAAATGACATAGCATGATGTGTAAAAACCTCTTTATAAGTTATTGTGTTATTATTATTGTTGTTGTTCTTGTTGTTGTTGTAGTATGAATGCATGGGCCATGGTGCACATGTGGAGGTTGGAGGACAACCTTTTGGTTGGCTCTCTGCTTCTACTGTGCGTTCTAAGGTTTGAACTCAGGTCTTCAGGCAATCTCAACAGCCCATAAATATGTAAACGTTTTAAGTTAAAGAATTTAGGCCCAGCTACCTCTGAGCCTCCTACATCTCTCACAGTTTCGGCCTAGACCCCATTCTCCCTTTCATGAATAGCTATCTTCTCTTTTCCCCTCTTACACCAGAGATGACCACCTGGCTCCCAACAAGCACAGGTGGGTGTGCTGGGGCACGGGGTGGGGGGTATCCAGGTGATGGGGGGGCTGGGGTTAGGGGAGGCCAGCCTTTAGGGTTGATGCCCTTGTATCTGTAAACCAAAAATAAATATAAGCTAAAAATTGTACCCCTGGCCTGAGGGGCTGTGAGGTGTGGTTCCACCTAAAACCCTGCTCCACCTCCTCTCATGGTTCTTGGGACCCAGTCTTGGTCTCCGTCCTGGTCACCGGAGTGACCGCCATCTTTGCGTCCTTCTTAGTTCTGACCACTTCTCCAGAGGAAACCACTGGCTTTTTCACCAATGGCTCTGAGCACAGGTGAGTCAGGTGTCTTGAGAGGGAGGGTCCTGGGAGAGGATGCCCAGAGAGCTCATGGAGCCCAGGAACCGGGGACCCCAGGATCCTTCTCAGAACGGCTGGACACTGAGTTCTGCAGAGGATCTCCCTGGTCCAGACACGGAGCTGGAGAAGGAAGGGCGGGGGCTGGGTGGAGAAGCTGTAGAAAAGACAGAGAGGATCGGAATGAATCAGAATCCCTGTAATGAAGCATGGAAAGGAAGAGATATTTGAAGAAAGAATAGACATAAATTTCACAGAATTGTAGGAAAAGGGTTTCAGATTACAGACTCATACAGGGCTAGGGAGATGGCTAGATTAAAGATTAAAGAAAGTGTCTGCTATGCGAGCATAAGTACCTGAGTTTGGGTCCCTGGCACCCACATAAAAAGCTGGGTATGGCAGCGTGTGCCTGTAGTCATGGTGCTTGGAGGCAGAGATGGGCAGATCTCAGGAACTCGGTGGCCAGCTCGTCTCACCAACCAGTGAGCTCTAGGCTAAGAAAGAGACCGTGTCTCAAAAAGCAGATAAAGACACCGAACTTTGAATCCTAGCCACCCCCCCGACACACACACACACACACACACACACACACACACACACACACACACACACACACACACACATCCCAACAGCACCACACCACACATCCATATAAAGACATTGTCAAGAGGGGAACTAGGAACCATGCCCACAGTACATAGAGCCACAGACAAGCAGACTGACCCCTGTGGACCTCATTCATGACTTGAGAGTGTCAAGATCAGAACATTCTGGAAACATAGATTATCTCCAAAGGAACAAGAATGAGATTCCATATCAAATGTAACAAGATAGCTGAAGCCACCAGGCCCCCTGTGAGTGAGGAAAGACAGTGAGACTGCAATAAATTAAATGGATTGCTTGTTTTTTGAGACAGATGGAGTCCTGCCTTTCCTGGAACTCACTCTGTAGACCAGGCTAGCCTCGAACTCAGAGAGATCCACCAGCCTCTGCCTCCCTAGTGCCGAGATTAAAGGTGTGCACCACCACCACTGGCTTTAAATGGATTTTTTTTTAATGAAGACCAGAAAAACCTATAAATGTTTTCATTGAAAAGTTTAGCACACTAGATATACTGCTGCCATATACCAAGATAGAATATATAAACACCTAGTGTCAGGGAGGTGGGGCAGGAGGATCTCTGTGAATTTGAAGCCAGTGGTCTACATAGAGAGTTCCGGGACAGTTAGGGCTACTTAATAGAATGACCCTGTCTCAAAAAAACAAATAAATAAATAAACAAAAAGCAGATGAATATCTGGGTGAGGAGGAGAATTTTTATTTTTTACTTTTTTCAGAAAACTTTAAAAACACACATCATGGGGGGTGGAGTTAAGCAAACTGCATCAAGGAGGGAATTCTACTCAACAAACAACATTATGGGAAACGTTCACAAGCAGACAGCAGACTGAGGAAAATTCAGTTTAAAAGGCTAAACAAACGTGGCAGTGCAATTCATGGTTCTCAAAGAAAAAGATGGCAATCCCAGTGGAAAACGGCAGACAACAGAAAGATAGTGGAAGAGAAAATCGGACAGGCAAACACGCATGCTCACACTGGCCAATAAGTTAAAAACACCAAGGGCCACCACCTCACACCTTGACAGAGAGCAAAGCAGCTAGGCACTGGGAAATGCTTTCAGCTGGGACTGCTGTGGGCTCCTGAACCCTGAACACAGTTGGAGGTGGCACAGACCCCTCCCACCTGTGAGAGGGCGGAGCCTCCTGGGTTTCAGAGCCTCTCAAAGATCAGTCAAAATTTCACAACCCAAAGGATGAGATCCAGAGACTGCACAGTTCTGGACCAGAGACACTAAGGAGTGGACCAGGTGATGACTCAGGTCCCCTTCATAAGTGCCTCTCTGTGACCTCCTCATTGGAGGAGTTCTGGTCATGTCCTCCCTCCCAGCAGACCTGTTTCTCTGTGACCGCGGCCGCCCTGCTTCTGGGCCAGCTTGAGGACTTTCTAGCTGACCCGCTGAAGAGGTGCCTTCTCCCAGCTGTTCAGATCCCCAGCCAGAGTTTTTACCCTTCCAACTGGGTTTCTTATAAATGGGTTTCCTCGCAGGCTCAGAAACCCCATGGCTCTCATTCCCACTCATGTCCACTGTCCCTCCAGAGCTCAGGGTGGGTCCTTTTGCACACAAACTCCCGCTGGGAGCCACTCAGAAGCAGGTGACATCTCAACCCAGGCTCCTCTTTCTGCTCCCTGCCTCCAGAAAGCACAGTTCTCCTTCCCCTCCGGGCTGGGTCTCCCCCAGGCTTCCAGTCTTTGTGCAGTATGGACTCCTGCTGTTCAAGGGCCTGATGCTGTCAGTTTGCTGTGTGGTCCTTTGCCGGAGACGCTGCCAGGTGAGTGGCCTGGCTTGGGGTAAGGGTGCTCTGTAGGATCTGGTAAGTGATCCGGGAGAACTATATTTTCAGTTTCGAGTAAGTGTGTTTATTAAGGACACAGCAAGTCAAAGTGAAAGGATAAATACCAAGGAGTAGAGAGAGCAAACCATTGTGAAACCGGGCGCTTAAAACATCCAGCAAAACAAACTAAGGAAGCCCCATGGAGACATCAGTTGGAGTTTCCGACAGAGTCCCCAGCAGAGCAGTGTCTGAAGCCTCGGGTGAGGCTTCCAAAAACAAATGAAGATGGATACCATCAAATATGGGGCTCACAACACCCCACAAAAACCAATGGGGGAAGTTGAGGCAGCCAGCTGGTTCCCAGTTGAGCTTTCTCTCCAGGGACCAGCTTCCCATGGCTTCTCGGCCCCTGCACGCTCATATCACAGGGTAAACAACAGTAACTTCTGGACATGTTACCTTTTGGCTGTGCCCAGGAGCATGAGGTTTTCACTCGTGGCCTGTTTTTGCTATTCTCTTTTCTCCCTGCCACAAGAATAGGAGGGCCAGGCCACCTGTCCCCAGACAAGAGGCCTTGGAGGACACTTTGAAGCAAACCTGCTTCATTCTGAATGGGGCATGATAGATAGAGCCTCACGTCCAGAGGCAGCTCCTGCACACACACACACACACACACACACACACACACACACACACACACACCCCAGTGTAATGTACGTTACAGGGGCAGTAGATCTGGGGTCACAACTGTCCCGGAGTATATACCTAGGAAGATGGGTGGAAGTGTTATTTCTTGGACTCTCTGCCTATTCCTCAGAAAGCATCCTCCTAGGAAGAGAGAGGCCTGGGGCCCTGGATGGAAATCTCTCTTCTGGGTCAGAAGAGAGCAGAAGATGCCTGGAGGAAGGGCAGGGAGGAAGGACGAGGGTTCCAGATCGCAGTCCTGGGGCAGGCGAAGGCGACGTAGAAAGGCTTTGTTTTGTGAATTTCCCCTCCACCTTTCTTCCTCAGGGGCGTGAGGATATGACAGAGACAGTGATGATGGAGGCTAAGGAATACCCCAGCCTTCCTGAAGCCTCGGAGTCCTTGGGCACATTTAGCCGTATGTCAGAGTGTGAGAAGAATGATTATTCTCCTAACCCTACCCAGTGGCTGCCCGACCACTGCATAGCACAACCCCACTGAAGTCACCAGGCAAGCCCACGGGAGACAGATCACCAGTGGTGACTGTCACTCTGGCATTGAGCACCCTAAGGTCCACGCTCCCCCACATCACAGATCTCCCCCAAGCTGACCACCCTTGGGAAGTTAATCTGCATTGGGGTCAGACCCTCTCACGGCCCCCATCACCCGTGCCTTCTCTCCCAGGACTTCCTCATTCTCTCTGCTGCCTCCATTGGCATCACATGCCTCACCGCTCCATTTCCTGAGTATGTCCACTTGTGCCTGAGTACAGACTCTAAGATCGCATCAGAGCAGAATGTGGAAACATCATATCCCCTGGCTTCCTCTCTTCTTGCTCCAGATTCCTTAAAATGAGAGAAAAGTGTCTTAAAGGATAAGATGGGGAACCAAGAAAGGCTGTGATCTGCAGACTACGAACAGAGGAAGCCAAGAAGTTAAAGAAAATAGGTGGATTTTTAACAAGCTCCCCAAACAGACGGCTCCTTCAGCCACATGTGAGAGCTGACCACCAGAGGTCAGTGTTGTGCTGGTTTATCAAGAGGCAATCTCATCTTCGCAGAGAAAGTCTGCTTGTACAAACATGATTATTGACTTGTGTGTGTGTAGGGGATCCTTTGGGGGAGCAAAACAATGTCACATCCATAAAACAAGAAGAAGCCAGAATGATGTTCAGCACATGTGATGTCCAGTGCAGCCTGGACCCTGGACATTCAGCATGGACATCTGCCGTTTACAGCAACCTTGAAAAGGCCACCACAATGACAGGATGGTTTCTCCTCCTCCTCCTCCTCCCCTCCTCCTCCTCCTCCTCCTCCCCTCCTCCTCCTCCTCCCCTCCTCCTCCCCCTCCCTTCTCCTCCTGCTCCTCTTCCTCCCCCTCCTCCTTTTTCTTCTTTTTTTGATGTATAGGAGAATAAAATATAGAAGTTTCTTCACAGATATATCAGCGCACGGCTGTCATCTATCTGTGCACACACTTTTGTTCCATTTATCCTTCTCGTCTTCATTTTAAAAAAAAATTTCCATTTGATTTCTTCAAACTAAGGCCACTACTCTAATGCACTTGGTACGTAATCCTGCATTCCACTGAAATCTTACAAAAGGAGTCATTTCTCCCTTGTGATTGTATTTCTTTTTGAGTGTGTGTGTGAGAGTGTGTGTGTGACTGTGTGTGCTCACATGTGCGTGCCCATGAGTGCTGTGTCTGTAGAGACCAGAAAAAGGCATCAGATCCCCTGGAGCTGGAGTCACGGGCATTTGTGAGATGCAGGGAGTAAGTGCTGGGAACTGAACCCCAGTCCTCTGTAAGAGCGGGGTGTGCTCTTGACCACTGAGCCTCTCCCCAGGCCTGTGTCTGTATTTCAACGTCTATAAAATAATGTGATGCACTTTCCCCCACATATTTCTCTTGCTCAGCTACCCAGCCACTGTTTGCCAGTGCTGACACATACGTACTCTGTTGCGTGCGTGCTCCCCGCCAGGGGAGGACCACTGGAACCCAGGGCCTGTGCTGTTACGCCCTCTCATTGTCACATTGCAGACAGTTTGGTGGTGAACATCTCCATTACTCTCTTTTAGAACCATTTATGACTTCCTTTACAATTTATATCCAAAGGAGTTTGTAGGACTTCAGAGTCTAAGCTGCTGGTGCCTCTGGCTTTGTTTCCTGAACCACTACCAGACAACTAGAGATTGTCCTTCCTGTCCATCTACAGCAAGCACGAAGCACCATCTATGGATTGGTCTTCCGAGAAGAAAATGGAGGGATGTTGGGAGCACAGAGGTCCTTGTGCCCACAGATCACCAGGGAAAACAGGAACATTAAGCATACAGAATTGTTATTCCAAAGGAAAGGGTGTATAACCTGGTTTTCCATCCAAAAGGCTGGGAACTGAAGGTGGTTGACAGCCTGGTGATCTGTTATTTGTAGGGCCAGGCTGTATCACGCTCCCATAATGAGGACAAGAGGTGACTAATAGCCCAAATGACCTCTACGCTATCTGTGCGACGGAGACCACTCCAGATCCATCCCTAGGCACTTAAGCTAGTACAGGTAACCTATCTCTAGAACCCATGTTCTTGAAAGAAATAACGTGTACCCTGAGTTGAGTTTTGATATAATTATGCCTCCTTATGCGGAGGTGATTGTATTATAACAGGAAACTTTTTTTCCAAATTGTACTGTGCTTAAATGTGCTGACTGTGGCATCAAGCTCCCAAAGTTTTCTTTCTTGCTTGTTCATGGATCATTTCGCTGCCAGCCATGCCACCTGCAGGGACCCTACAGTGGAGAAGCCTACTGGTGGTGTTCTGCTAACTGGTCATGTCAAACTGCCTTCAAGATATTCATATGTATAGATCTGTGCTCTTCTTAACTTTGGTCAGAGAAACGTCTTTCTGCTGCAGATAGTAGTTAATGCCGAGATTTATAACTGGTCAAAGAGCTGAGAATAAGAGACTAAGTGACTGCTGAGCCCTGAATGGAACATCTGCATTAATCTTTTGCCTCAAGCCTCAGAAAACATCATGGGAGAGGGAGCAGAAAAAAAAGGTAAGAGCCGGGAGGATGGGGAGGAGAGCTGTGAGATGCTGTCATTGGGACGTGACGTGGCCATTGTAAACATGAACTCATGGCAGCTAATTGACCTTCACAGTATCAAACTAGTCAACACTCTGGAATGGACAGATAGGGCGAGGACTCATGAGGCCCCACCCCTTCCTGAGAAGTGGTTTCAGTTGATGGCTGCTGGGGGAGAGAGAACTGTTTATCCTTAGGGTTTGGCCACAGATAGGCTGCCCATGCTCCATGGGGTGGTTCCCACAACTATACACACAGGGGCGGTACTAACTGGACTCAGTGGGTCACAATGGAAAAAAGAGAAGAGGACATGTGTCAGGGCCATGCGAGGGGACTGACAGGCAGCATTGGAACTCATGGAACACAGCTGGGTGGTTGGCAAAGCCATGCCTGAGTGAGCCTTGGAGAGGCAAAGCCCCGAGGGCTACATATCCTGAGGACCTCGTGCTGGTATTGAGCATAGCTCCGATTGTTGCCTTCATGGTCACCACGTCCCTCATCATCTATGGGCTGTGTGAAAACTCTCAGGGGTCTCAAGCCCCTCACTGGGCAGTGTACTTACAATAACAGTGATTGACTTTTTCCAAGCATTGCTGCTGGAGCAGATTAATGACTCAACCACCACTCTTAGAAAGAATTTAGACATGTAGAATTGTTAGTAAGATTAGATTAGTTGTTTTTGTTAATGGCTTTGAGGTAGAAAATCTTGGGGGACAATTTAAAGTTTAGAAAGGCACACTTTTAATAGTTGAGCGAGGGACTTGTTGAGGTCAGGGAACAGGAACAATGGCAGTCTGGCTACTGCTGGCTGATGGACCTCTCTTGCTAGAATGGGTTGGTGATCAAAGATGATAATTAATTCCTTGTACCCATCTCTGCCCTCAGCTTCCTGATATGAAAAACTGTTGATGAGCGGGTACGCACCCTGAGGTCTTAAAGTAGAGCTGACTGGTTGTTTTTCCTATATAAATGTTTAGATTTGTGATTCTTTTAAGATTTTTTTTTACAATATTACCTTTTGAGATAAATAATAAAATGATTGGTCCTTTCTTTGTAACGGCGAAATGCCAGTGAAAGGACTGGTTGAGAAAAACCTCTTGCTTGCTCACACTCTGCCAATCTATAACAAGTGGCTTGGACATGAATGTATGTGGGTTCTGGGGATAATTTGTCTTTCACCTGTAATATATAAAGTGTTTAATCATGTAAGGGATATGGAAAACATGTTGGGTTTTTTTTTACTTGTACTCATTATAATCATTCACTTAAAAAATAGAATGCAACCACATTGTAATTTTTATATTGCCTGGAAGGTTCTGCTGGGGTATACGAGCTGTAAGGGAGAATAAAGTAAGGTAGAAGGAAGCCGCCATCAGGAAGGACAGCGGAGAGAAACTGGGGTAGAAGAACAGAGCAGGAAAGAACAGCGCAGAACAAGCAACCGAAAGAATAACGTAGGAAGACAAAGGAGCCTTTACCCTCAGATAAGAACTGTTTTTCTCTCCAATTTTGCATTTTGTTCCCAGTCTCTCTGACCTACAGAAGGCTGGACCCTCTGCAGACACAAAATTGGTAGGGGCATGTGTGAGGAGGACTTTGAGGTGTTGGAAGGAGGGAGTAAATATGATTAAAATACATTCTCTACATGTATATGTGAAATCGTTAAAGAATAAATGAGAAGCATTAATAAAAGAAAGATGGAATGTGAGATCAAATACAACTAAGTGATGTACAAGGCACTAGACACGTTATTCTCTCTATTTCTGTGCGTTCCTGGAAAGTTTCATGTACAGATAGCCTGTAAGTCTAAACACAAGAGTGTTGATGCTAGCACAATTGGTTTTGAATTGTAGATGGCTGAATACAAACCGTTTCTTGCTTATTTAAATAAGTTACAGGAAATTTTGGGGAGTCCCACCTGGACTACCACACATTATCTGGGAAATCGGGTCCCTTCTTGCGGTGCATAGTTTCACTAATAAAAGACTTTAAGAGAACTGGAGAGTTGGCTCAGTGGCTAGAAGTGCTTGCTTCTTCCAGAGGGCCTGAGTTCAGTTCCAGGCACCCATGTTGGGTGGATCACAAGCAACTCCAGCACCAGGGGATCTGATACTCTCTTCTGGATTCTGCAAACACTTGAACATAACACAGAGAGAGAGAGAGAGAGAGAGAGAGAGAGAGAGAGAGAGAGAGAGAGAGAGAGAGAGAGAGAGAGAGAACTGGTTGGTTTTTTGTCAACTTAACACAAACTAGAGTCACCTCAGAAAAGGAAAACTCAGTTGAGGAATTGCCTCCATCAGATTAGCTTTGGGCAAGTCTGTGGGATTTTTATTTTTAATTGGTGACTGAGGTGGAAAGGCCCAGTCCACTGTGAAAAGTGCACCCGTGGGAAGGTGGTCTAGAGTTGTGTAAGAAAACAAAGTGAGCAGGCCACAGGGAGAAGCCAGTCAGCAGCACCCCTCCATGGTTTCTGCTTCAGTTCCTGCCTCCAGGTTCCTGCCCTGGCTCCCTTGATAGAGGACTGTAATCTCTAAGCCAAGTAAGCCCTTCCCTCCCCAGGTTGTTTTTGGTCATGGTGTGTATTGCAGTAATATACAGAAAACTAGTGCAGCTCTCTTCTGGAATTTTTAGACCAGGAACCAAGGATGTTTCTGGAAATGCTGCTTTTGGGTCTCTGCTCCTACACTGCCCAGCCTTCTGCTCTCATCAAAACTGCCAAAAACTGGACCAGATTCACATATATAACACAGAAACACAAGGAATATTAGCAATAGAATAATTCACAGTTGTTTAGATGCTGAGAGACAGCATTTAGTTAAAGTACTTACTTATGTAGTGTGACTGCACATGAGGGTGTGCAGGCATGTGTGTGGAAGGCAGAGTTGATGTTAGGTGTCTTCCTTGGTCACTTCCACTTTATTGTTTTTAAGATGTGTGTATGTGTATGAGTGTGTAAGTGTGTATGTGTGTGAGTGTTTGTATGTGAATGTGTGTGTGCATGTGTGTGCATGTGTTCTGGTAGTCACAGAGGCCAGAAGAAGGCATGGGACCCCCAGGAACCAGAGTTACAGGCAGCTGTGAGCTGCTTGGTATGGGTCCTCCGGAAGAGCAGCATCTGCTCTTTAAGTGTGGTGCCACCTCTGCAGCCCACCACTGTGTTTCTGGAGGCAGAGTCTCTCTTTTAACCTGGAGCT